CACTCTCGCTACTTCCCACCGACATGTCGAGCCATCCAGCAGACATCTGTGAGATTTTCTGAAACAACGAAGTGATACCAGTGAAATTTTGTAAAGACTACCTGTCAACTCTTGTAAAGCAATAAATGTTGACGGGGAGTGACGAAAGCATTAAATCCTCCCCCCCCCTAGGGAAACTGCGCTCAAAATGGCACAATACCGTGATAGAGAGGATAGGATGAGGTCGAGGACCGAAGAGAAGAAAAGATTTTGTTCACAAATTATAATCATGACAAGGAAAGATTATCCAGAAATTTATCATTATTATTCAAAATTAAATTATTGACCGATTGTAAAAAGGCAACTAACCAGGTTTCACAGAGCCCGTTTCATAGAATCTGCCAAGGATCTTCGACACGCATCCATGGCTGACTCTTAAAATATTTCCTTCAAAGTTGAAACTGACACATTCTTACTGCACCTGTTACTTTATCATTCCTGTCAATTTGCCTAGAAAGGGGAGAGGTAAAATGCAGTAAAGGACCCGTTGAACTAAAAAATCGAATTTCCAGGAAGTAGGTAACTGCTTCCAAAAGGCTAATCAGGAGTAAAGAGCTCATGAGGCGAAGTGGTGCTTTTCATGGGAATCTGGCAAAATATTGATCGTCCAACCTCAACTGCCTGGAAATATCGCACGGTCGAACGCCCTGATGTGCCATTTCGACGATTCGTCCCCGGATATGATCGGGAAGCGGTCGACCGTTGACGAACACACCACCGAGTTGATTAACACCAGTATGGCCATTATCGATAGGGAAGGCTGAGGTGGTAAGTGGTGAACAGAAAGGTGACGAAGTAACGAATGTCGGAGCGAAATGTGCTGCTGATGGAGGTGGTGGTGGCAGTGAGCCGGCGGACGACGCAACAGCCAGTGACGGTGGATAGTAGCCGTAACCCCGCCACAGATCCATGCCTAGTCAAGCGAGTGGCTACCCTTGGTCGCCCTTGGGCGCACCCCGCCGTCGACATAAGCCCCGCCCAATGCCGAGATCGTGATTCGTCTGCTCCGACCCGCAGCGGCGGCTGGTTACAGTATACGGGTGTTCGGGGCTATCTCTAGGGAACGTCGTTCCAAAGCCATTTCCCGTCCCTGAGTTGCAGCTCATATGGTTCCTTGTCGATCAGCTCGGGTCATTGTTGAGTTCATCAGGTCTGATAGCCGATTTGGGTCATCGTCCGGTAAGCGGATATAATTAGCCGGCGGCAGCGCGTGTCTGCCGATACTCATCCTCTTTCTGGCTGCACTCCGTCATCACTCATCATCGCCCTCCACGTTGTTTTCGGGCATGAGAGGTAAGTGGCCTTTTATGGGATTGGTGGGCATTCCAGAGTGTCCGAGGCAAAACTCGCTCATCTGATAGCAGTTAGGCGCTTCTTTACCCGTGCTCTTGCCATCCTGGCGTTCGTCCGCTAGAGTCACTGGTCCAGCTTTACACTAGTGACCTTGTACCAGTTGACAAACAAGATTGCATCAACCTATCGGGGATACTGCCAACGAATAATGGAAGAAGTGGGGCTCTTGAAGGCAAAGTCCGCGATCAGTTTCCATCACAGATAGTGGATTAGGGGTTCGCATTTAGACGACAAGGTGCTGAGTAATTCGATAGTGAAGGAAAAAAGCAGAAAAAACATGCCAATGCCCTAATAGAACCCCGTTCCAGACCCCAATTCGAACCCATTTCAACCCAATTTATCGTGCCTAGTTAAATCCATCTCCAACAGTTCGCCCGATGCGCACAGCTGATCCTCCAGTAAGAACTCTACGACCGTACAAGTGGCGATTTTCATGCTTTTTCTTGCTGAGTCTTTCGCTTTGCAATGAAAGGCGGGGCCTGAAGCCGGATTCTGAGATACGAGCGTCACTGAAAAAGGGCTTTCACTGAACCTATAATTGCGTTATAGGCGCCGTCCCTTAGAATTTTTCAGACGCGCGGACCGCACTACCCTCCCGACGCCATATTTTTCAACTTCTATACCTGATCGCGGACCGCGCCTTCAATCTTTCCAGGCCTTCCTCCCTCATTTCCTTTACCTGGTCAACAGCTTCCTGATATTGCCTCTTGAATGCGCCATGCATACGTATTCCAATGGTGGTTCTACTCGCAATCAACTGGTAAGGAAGAAAACAGGGTATCTTTACGAGTTCAACTTAACCTGCAGCAGCTGCCGTCCCGTTCATCATCGAATCGCGCTGATGGGCACCAGCAACCCTAGTCTCCCAACAACTAGTTACACTGTCCAATGAATTCCCATTGGAAGAGTAATACAAAGTCATTCGTCTTTTTTGTGTGGAGCTTTCCTGGGGCCAGTGTTCTGTTCTTGGTTCTTCTTTGAGTGAAACTACGAAACGAAAAATAGACCCGTGGAATGGAACAAAAGAAACGAAGAGGAAAATGTATTAGAGATCTAAGGGTCCATGCTATCGATTTAGGCCACGCTTAATATTGGTGAAAAAATGTAACTACATAGTTAAGGCTCGTACTCATAGTCTGTGCCACTGAAGAGTCGAAGATGAGGAACGGGGGTACGTCGGCGTCAGCGCTAGACGGAAAACCCTATGGGATAAAGCGTTCTGCACAACCTTTTTCGACCCTAACCTACCGCTATGATTTCCCTTACATTAAAACCCCAGAAAATTTTTCTCATAATTTTGCTGTCAAACGCGGGCCAAGGAAGATCATACATCGCCGATCGTCTATGAGGAAAAAAGAACCAGCAGTTTTGGCGCACCAGGGAAATATGTGGCGCGAAACGGAGAAGCATCAAAGGTTAGCAGATCTTTCTCAACGCTTAATTGAGGCAGGTTGTACACTGGGGATCCCCAGAGAGGGAGTCGTACGTGAATACTGGAGGGAGAAAGGGTCGTAACTGCTTTTAAGAAGAATGTTCTTGGTTCTTGACCTTTCTCGGTTCCTCCCTCCGCTAGACGGCTTTGCAGAGAAAAAAGTGGAGAGGTTCCCGAAAAGTTCGGGCAAATAGAAACTCCGGAACAGTAGTAGGGAGTTGGAAAAGTTAGGGAGAGAATCGTGCCTGAGGAGGAGATGTGGAAGGGGAATCGTATTCTGCGAAATTTTCCCCAAATGACAAAAAGCACCCCGCGCTGAATACGACCCCTCTCTCCTCACCAATCAAATATGGCTCTTCCTGATGGTATTTGCACTTCATACAACGACGATGCACGCTGCTAGAACAATTTCCAGAATCTGTGGTAAGGAAAGTCTACGTATCGATCATAGAAATGAGAGAAATCAGAGAACAAAG